TAGCAAAAAAGGCTTCAGAACAGGGAGTAGCTTTGTGACCACTTTAAAGTAACACCTCAGGGGGTGGGGAGTTGGGGAAGAGAGCGCAGGGGGAGAAATGCCAGATATAGGTGAAGGGGAGGAAGGCAGCAAAGCACACTGCCACATGTGTACCTATGCAACCATCTTGCATGTTCTTGACATGTACCTCAAAACCTAAAATGCAATTAAAAAAAGTTAAAAAAGAAAAAAAAAAGGAAGAAAAAAGTGCTTGAATGATTTTATGACTTACACCTGGAATTTCTATTGTCTTCACTAATTGTTCCTTATTCTTCTTTATTTGCAGAAAATGCGGTTTTTGAAATAAATTTATAATAAAATGCTGCCTATATTAAAAATAAATAAACACCAAGTTATTGCACATTGTTTTCTTATTTTCTTCACAGCTATTATCACCACCTAACATTCTTACTTACTTACTGTTTACAGTCTGTCTCCAGAGTAGGTGCTTTCTTGCCCACCATTGTATTTCCCATGCTTAGAATGCCTGTAAATACTTGTTAATGAAAATTATCAAGCCCACGCACACACAGACCTTAATCCACATTCAGGAACATGATGTTCAAATGTGGAAACCATCTTCCAATGAGACTGATACCAAATGTTCCAAATGAATTTCTACCCTTTCCTATACAATGGCTTACACACACATACCACAATAGTGATATTTTCCCATGTGTGTGTGTGTGTCTGTGACTGAGCTTCACTCTTGTTGCCCAGGCTGGAGTGTAATGGTGTGACCTCAGCTCACACAACTTCTGTCTCCTGGATTCAAGTGATTCTCCTGCCTCAGCCTCCAGAGTAGCTGGGATTACAGGCATGCACCACCACGCCCAGCTAATTCTGTATTTTTAGTAGAGACTGGGTTTTTCCATGTTGTTATAGGCTGGTCTCGAACTCCCAACCTCAGGTGATCGGCCCACCTCAGCCTCCCAAAGTGCTGGGATTACAGGCATGAGCCACCGCCCCCTGGCCATAGTTTTCTTTCTTAATTCCCCACTATGAAGCACCAGATGATAAGCCACAGATATGCCAGCTAACTTATGTTACAGTTCATCTTCCTGCTGGGCCATGCATATTACCTACAAAGCAAACATCTCTAATGCAGAAAGTACTGACTGTGTGTTGCCATGAGAACCTTTTTACCCATACCACATGTACCAAGAGTATTAAAGGACTTTCAATAGCCTAATCAATAATAAAAAACTATCCAGTGCAATATACCAAAGCATGCTCTACTAACTACAAAAACCTTGATTTCAGTACACTGTATTCTTTTTTTTTTTTTTTTTTTTTTTTTACTCTTGCTCTGTCACTCAGGCTGGAGTACAATGGCAACAACGTGGCTCACTGTACCCTCAACCTCTCAGGCTCAAATGATCCTCCCACCTCAACCTCCTAAATAGCTGGGACTACAGAGACCTACCAACCACCACATCTGGCTTTTTTATTTTTTGCAGAGGTGAGGTCTCACTGTGTTGCCCAGGCTTATTGTATTTCAAATGTATCACTTCGATACTGTTTCACTCCAATATAGTTTTATTGTTTTGCTTTATCTTGTTACTTTTTTACCTCCACAAAAAGAAAATGAGGACAGCAGATTCGAAGCTGCAGACAGAATGAATTGAGTACTAAGGTGCCCTGAACACAAAGTCCCCATGAATGGGCCCGGCACAGTGGCTCACGCCTGTAATCCCAATACTTTAGGAGGCCGAGGCGGGTGGATCACCTGAGATCAACAGTTCAAGACCAGCCTAACCAACATAGCGAAACCCTATCACTACTAAAATAAAAAAATTAGCCGAGTGTGGTGGCACACGCCTGTAATCCCAACTACTTGGGAGGCTGAGGCAGAAATGCTTGAACCCAGGAGACGGAGGTTGCAGTGAGCTGAGATCCTGCCACTGTAGTCCAGCCTGGGCAGCAGAGTGAGACTCAGTCTAAAAAGGAAAAAAAAAAATGTCTCCATGAGTAAGAAGGCTTAAGGTATACTAGGAAAAGAACTGTCTTTGCTAAATACATTTTTTGAGTCCCACCCGGTCAAACTGAGTGAGAGCAGTCACCATATAAAACGATTCTAGTGCACTGTAAACTAGTAACACAGCTAGGTAGAGAGACAACCCTTTATGTACATTACTCTTTGAGTCGATAAAAAAGTTTTCTGCTAAAGACAGAATAACAGAATTGGGTATGAAAAAAGAAATTTTTCACAGATTAAATCTCAGGTACACTGGCAAAACTGACCAAATACGGGTAGAATAAAACTTTAGGAAACTCTGGGGGGCAGGGGTGGGGGCAAAAGCATAAGCAGTCACAAAAACCGTGCTTTCTAGTGTTTCACCTGAATCTAGATTTGAGGTTCATCATAGCTTTTTTTTAAAAAATGGAGGTGGGGGGTGGCACAGCAGGAAGAGATGGATTCCAGTGCCACATTTACCACTAACTGATTTGTGCCTTGAGCAGGCAACAAACCTAGTACAGTACAGGATCTGATGCCAAGAGGAGGAAGGTTATATCTAAGCCTTGACCCTCACTAGCTCTGTCACCTCTAGGGGAAAGGAAAGATGATCTACCTCTAAGATCAGCCGGGTGGATGTTTTAAGACCATTTAAAATGCCTTGGACAGAGTCTCGCATAAAGGATTGTCTTTTATACAAATGCTAGCATTTTTTCCTACCTTTATGAAAAGTAGGTTGGACTCACCAGAAAAAGTCCACCTCTAAATAAATGTGATCATTTCAAATACATTACATTTTATTAGAGTTTTTTAAAGTTGGCTGAGTGCAGTAGCTCTCGCCTGTAATCCCAGCACTTTGGGAGGCTGAGGCAGGGGAATGACCTCCTGACCTCACCTGAGGTCAGGAGTTGTAGACAAGCCTGGCTAACATGGCGAAATCCCATCTCTACAAAAGTATAAAAAATTAGCCAGGCATGGTGGCGGGCGCCTGTAATCCCAGCTACTTGAGAGGCTGAGGTAGGGGAATCACTTGAGCCCAGGAAAAGGTTGCAGTGGGATGAGACGGTGCAACTGCACTCAAAACTGGGTGACAGAACAAGATTCTGCCTGTAAAAAAAAAAAAAAAAAGCATGACACTACAAGGTTATGGAACCTAAAATCTCTGTCTCCTAATATCTAGTCGATTTGGCAACCTTCTCTCACATAAATACAAACAAATTACTTCACAGAATGAAATTTTTGTAACCATTTTTCCCTTGTAAGTTGTAAGACAAGTGTAATATACATGTAAGTGTGATAACTGCTTATAATTTGAGTAATCGGGGTTTTTTTGTTTTGGGTTTTTTGTTTTGTTTTGTTTTTTGTCTTTTTTTGAGATGAAGCCTTACTCTTGTCTCCCAGGCTGGAATGCAGTGGCATGATCTTGGCTCACTGCAACCTCCGCCTTCCAGGTTCAGATAATTCTCCTGCCTCAGCCTCCAGAGTAGCTGAAATTACAGGCACATGCCACCATGCCCGGCTCATTTTTGTATTTTTTTTTTCTTTTTAGTACAGAAGCAGATGGGGTGTTTTGCCTGTAATAGCAGATGGTGGTATGCACCTGTAATCCTACCTACTCCGGAGACTGAGGCAGGAGAATCACCTGAACACAAAAGGCAGAGGCTGCAGTGAACTGAGATCGCGACATTGCATTCCAGCCTAGGCAACACAATAATAAATAAAATAAAAAGGGATCTAACTAAATTAAATAACAAAAAGTGATCTGAGAAAGACATTTTATACCATATTGGCTATGTATCTGGCCCAGCAGCACAGTTCTAGAAATTTAAGACAAACCAATTCTGAGGTTGGTATAGAAATACCAGTCAAAAGCACGGCCTAAGGCCTTCACACACCATAAAATCAGTGAAACTAATTGGGTTCTTCAGCACCTACGGAGCATTGGCTACCAGTGAGGAGTAAGTTGGGAATGCAAATAATTAGCGTACCCTGAGGTGACAGTTAATTCCACTAGCATACCATTTCACAGGAGATATGCATTCTGCTTTGTCCCCCTACTTTGAGAATGCTGAAGCTGGGAATTTCAACAGTTAGTCAAATGCCAAATGTCCTTTGAAGAACTTTAATAAGATCCGGATCTTCCGAAATCCCCTGCACAGAAAGATCTTGGAACACCTCTGAGCCAACATACACAGACCCAATCACATGTTACCCAGACATTTTCCAAGTAAACAAATATTCTTTGAAATATTTTCTGATAACTTCTTCCACAAAGACAAAAATATATAAGGCGCATTCCACCTAGGTCAAAATAATACACGTTGTTCTGAAGCACAGAACAGCAACTGGGATTTTAAAGAAGAGTGTACCCTTACCAAGTTTATGCTCTGTGGAAGGCAGAGGCTGGAAGCTACAAGACAGGCTTTAAAAAGCCAGCTAAGGTACAGTCTGCATTTCTCAGAAGAGTTGCCTATGGCTAAAACAAAGCACAAAATGAGATACAAAAGGCAAAACCACAAACCCCTGTACTGTCTGACCTGGGAATCCTCACTAACCAGATGAGGAAATCACCAGGGTAAGTAACTTGCCCTGGGCTGCAGTTTATTTGGCGTCAAAGCCGTAAGCAGATTCCTGATCTCCTAGGTCGAAATTCAGTGTAGTTTCCCCATCCACCAAACTGCTACCCCACGGAAGATGCTGTATAAAACTCTTCACTGAGGCTGTTAACATAAGGGTCCAATTATCATTCAAAGATCAGCCCGTTAGATAATAGCTCGAAAATTCCATCCATTTTACAGCATTTACTAGAGACATCTAATCTTCGAGTGAAAAAAGCAAAAAGGAAAAGAGGGAAATCCTAATTCTGACCTGACCTAAAGGATTGAATACAGACCAGCAGACCGTACTGGTATCCGCAACCACAAAAACAGACAATAATCCCACCCACAAGCAGAGGAAGACGGCCGCCCCACGGCACCGCCCCCCAACTCACTAAATTCCACTCCCATTCCGGCGTCCTCTGGACAGTGCACCTCCCGCCGCAGCCGGTGAGGAATCGGCCCGATTGGCCACGCTCCTTCAAACCACCACTTTCCCCCGAAAAAGGGACGGGAGCCTCAGGTCCCCAAACGAGCGCTCCCTCGCCCAGAGACCCCGGCTCGCACACCCCGCCCGGCCCCTCGTGGCGGGGGAGGGGAGGCCGCCCCACACAGGAAGTGTGTCCAGCGCCAGGACCTGCGCCCAGCCCGCCGGTACCTGCCCTCCGCCCCCAACAGGCGAGAAGCTGCCGCGTCCACATGGCTTCAGGTGTTCACATGGCAGTAAACGGGCCCCTGCCCTCCGGGACGCCCCAGCGCGGCGCCCTCCAGCCCAGAGCCCGGTCCTCCGCCCCGCTGGCCTCGCCTCCAGCCCCCAGCGAAGAGGCGAGTGCGACCAATGCCCCCGGGGCTGCCAAGCGCCCTGAGGAAGGCGGCGCTGACTCCCGGACTCCGCCCGCTCACACCCGCTGCCTTTGCACCCAAGGCCGCGCGCGACCAGCAGGTACCGTCCTCTGCACCCGCAGGCGAGGACCGGCGCCCAAGCCCCGCCGGACCCCCAGGCCTGCCCGAGACACTTCAGCCCTCTGACGCCAGGCCTGGCCCGGCCCCCTGCCCGCACTCCCGGGTCGGGCCGGGCAGGAACACTCCCCTCAGCACCCCAAGCCCTTGCTCGAAGTCCAGGAGGCTCCGCACATCCAGGTCGGGTCCGGCCGGGACCTCTGCTCCCAGCTCCCCAGGCCGGACACCCCTGCCCGGCCCTAGTCCCTCAAGCCCGACCCTCTCCCTGCTCCTCAGGCCCGGAAGACGGTTACCTGCGGGAGCCCCCCGCCCCGTCCCTCGGCCTCCGCCGGGGGCGGGAGGGGAGAGAGCTGTGGCGGCGGCGGGCGGCGCTGCGCGGGGTGGGGGTGGGGGTGGCTCCGCTGCCTCCAGCTCGCGCGCCCGGGCCGGCGGCGGGGCGGGCCGGGGCCGCGGCCCCTCAAGGCTCGCTCCGGCCCGCGCGCTCCCTCCCCGGTCCGGCGCGCCTCAGGGCGGGCTCCCCTGGCGGAGGCCGCGGCCGCCTCGCAGGGGCCGAAAGCCGCTCAGCTCTGGGTTTTTTCTCTCCATTCTCCCAACACACAGGAAATAACAGAGCGTCAGGTGACGACGCGCGACCAATGGGGAGGCTCCGGGCCGCGGCGCGCGGGCGGGCGGGAGGGCGCGCGGCGGGGCGGGGCGCGCGGCGGGGGCGGGGCGCTGGGGGCGGGGCCGGCGCGCGCGTGCCCACCCGCGTGCGGCGGCGTCGAGGTCGGCGCGCACCGAGCCGGGGCCGCGGAGACCCTCATCCCGCGGCCGGGTCGCGCGGGGTTTTCGTCCGCGGCCGCTGGACGCAGCGCGCCGACCGCCCAATGCCATCTTGGCCCGCGCCTCAGGACCGTCTTGAGGGTGGCCGCGAGCCAACTTTCTGGGGAGTTGGTGGCCCGGAATCTATCTCTGTGATTTCTGGAGTTCCCTGGAGCCTCCAATGCCAGAATCGCGCCTCTCGCGGCCCAGGAAAGCCGTGGGCCAGGACCCGGCCTCTGCCTGGTCACCTGTTTAGTCAGGCCGGGCGTGGGGCGGCTTTTGCCCGCCAAGCGCCCTCTGGGCCAGGGGCAGCCCAAAACCTGGCTGGTCTCGCCTGGGTCCCTGGCAACCTCGGCCCATGGGCGCCAGGTGTCTGTGGAGGAACGACTTGGGTCCTGCCAGAGCCTCAGTTTCCACCGCCGTAAACGCGAGGAGGGAGGCGCACCTACCTCACCTGTAAAAATGGACGCTCCAGTTGCCTTCTGCTGTGGCATTAAGAAGCTGCCATGCTGGGCCGGCTGCCCCTCGGGTCCTGAATTAATTTGCAGATAAGGCAGAGGATTTGCGGTGCCAAGACCTCAGCCTTCCTTTACAAACCTGATGTGTTTCTAGAGCAAAGGAAGGGCTAGACTTTCTTCTAAAGAAAATATCAATTGTAGGGCAACCACTTTGTATCTACTAAGTTAGTGCCCCCACGGCCACCAAAAGTGACAAAGCCATTAAGACCTTGAGACGCGTTTAGAATTTGTGATCCTGACCCTGACCCTGACCTCTGACCTGGCCAAATTATCTTCCCACTTTGGACCTGTTTCCTGTGGGTGAGGAGAGTTTGGATCAGATGTCCCTAATGTTGGCTAAAATTGCCAATTCTAAATTAGGCTCCCACCTGACCTAGATGTTAGGGGAGTATGTGGCTTCCTCTCCTGAAGCAACCCAACTTGAAAGTAAATTGGGATTGGAAAAGTGCTTCCGGCAGCAGGTGGGGATTCACAGCAACCAGGTGTGGTCTGGGACTCAGATTTCCATATATTTGAGATACACAGCTCCCTCCGGCCTGGTTTTTCTTTTTGACCTTTCACTCCACCTAGCCAGAGAAGTTAATGCTTTGCCTTTTCTTAAGCTACACAAGGAGCGTCCCAGGGTCCCAAGCAGGACCTGAGGTGGTCCCAGGCCCCTTGGCAGGAGCATGTAGTTGGGGAAGGCAGTGATTTCTCCTGCCTTCCTCTGTCCAGGCTCACAAAGTGGAATCGGGCTCCAAAGCAGTTCAGGACTATTGCTGGGGACTTGATTCCCCAACACCTCCTGCATGCCAGGCTCTTCCGGGGCAGAACTGAACAAGCCACGAGGCCCTGCCCTCTGGCTGTTCCCATTGTTCTGTGAGTTTCATTTTCAAATTCTCAGGCCTCAAGACATAAGAGACCAGTGCCTGGCTTCTCCTGGGGGCAGGGCTTCAAAGGGAAAGGTGGAAGAGGTGCTCAACACAAACACATGTTTTCTAGACAAAAATAGGAGAATGCAGGTGAGCTTCCTGAAGACTGGTGTTGGGGGGCACCCTCAATTTCTTGAAGGAATTTTTGAAGAAAGGTGAATCCCTTTTCCTTAGAGTCTCCTGACCCATCAATCCTCCATTCTTTCCCTTCTTCCTTAGCTCACTTGCGTCTCAGATACATGGTCCGGGGGATGGTGACAATCCGTTGCAGAACCTCATTCAAAAGGAAAAAATATTAAGAATGTAGACAGATAACTGGAGTCCAGGCTCTTGTCGGCTCCTGCCTCTTATAACCATGCAGCCCCCTCCCTGCCCTTTCAGACCCTGCCAGAACATTGCTCTGATGATCTCCACCTGGAAACTTCCCCAGTCCTAGGACCAGGCCAGCTGACTCTTCATCCCTGAAATCCCGACACTTTCTCTTTTAGTACCATTTGGAAAAACAACGTGTATGGGCATCATAGCCAACAGGAAGATGTGGGTTTACTCGCACTGTGTGGCCTTGGACAAGTCACTTCCCCTTTGGTTTCCTCACATATAAAATGGAGAAAATATTATCTCACTGGGCCAGGACTGGTAGCTCACACCTATAATTTCAGCACTTTGGGAAGCTGAGGTGGGCGGATTGCTTGAGGCCAGGAGTTTAAGACCAACCTGGGCAACACAGTGAGGCTCCCCCACCATCTCTATTTAAAATAAAAAATAAATGTTTTAATTACATCACTCATAAGATTTCATGGGACTCTCAAGAGAGCTGCACAGGCGGGGCACAGCGGCTCAGTCCTGAAATCCCAGCACTTTGGGAGGCTAAGGTGGGTGGATCACCTGAGGTCAGGAGTTTGATACCAGCCTGGCCAATGTGGTGAAACCCCGTCTCTACTAAAAATACAAAGTTTACTTGGGCATGGTGGTAGGTTCCTATAATCCCAGCTACTTGGGAAGCTCAGAATTGCTTGAAACCGGGAGGCAGAGGTTGCAGTGAACCGAGATTGGGCCATTGCATTCCAGGCTGGGTGACAAGAGCAAAACTCCCGTCTCAAAAAAACAACAACAAAAAAAGTGCAGGGCCAGGCGCGGTGGCTCACGCCTGTAATTCCAGCAATTTGGGAGGCCGGGGTGGGCAGATCACTTAAGGTCAGGAGTTCGAGACCAGCCTGACCAACATGGAGAAACCCAAAAAAAAAAAAAAAAAAAAAAAATCAGTGCAGTACCAGGCACTGTTAACACTACTAGCTACAGTGCTATGATACAGACTCAATAGACAAATGAGTAGACTGAGGCTCAGGGAGGTTAAGTTGCTGCCCGAGATTGCACAGTGGCAGGCACTCAGTAACTGGCAGCCCCTTCCTCTGAAATCACATAAGTGTCTTCTATTGTTCTCTCATTGTCTCAAATGCATGGATCCTGTTTTTCCTACCACACTTGGAGCTCATTAAGAAAAGGACAGTAGACCAGTTGTTAGTATTTTTCCCCCTCCCTCCTAACCCAGTCCATTCAAAAATTACTCCTTGAACTGAATCAGTGTATCAATTCTAGAAACAAAATTGATCCTTTCCCTCCTCCTCTGGCTCAAATAAAGCTTTTGGAAACACTGTATCACTCCTTTTATTACAAACTCCTCTGCCCTCCTCCAGGCGCCTGGGCCACTCCAGGATTACAAATGTAGCCTTCTGCCTCTAGGTCACTGATTCCACTACCATCTGTCAGCGTGGATTGATTGAGGAGACTGGCCCTGCTCGGCAGATCAGTGACTTGTGCGAAGTGAGCCGGGTTGTCGGTGCCTTCAGAGCAGGCGGATGTCCTTCCTCTCACTTGCCAACTCTTGTGAGCAGACACAGAGCCCTCACCTTTATCCTTCACCAAGCTCTAGCTCTCCTTCTTCTTGGGAGGGACTGCCTGCTAACTCAGTCACAACAAGAGGGAGGCCTAGAATTCCTGCTCGCAAACTCAGGGCTTCATCTGCAGTCTTCCAGGAGGTAACTTACAAAAGCTGTGGGCTAACAGAGTGGGAAACTCCCCACAGCCTCCTGCTGTGCCTGTCCCCAAGCCAGGCACTGTCCCCTTGCAAAGCACAAGGATACCGAGAGTGCACAAACAGCAGAGGTGGGGAGCCTCTGTAGGCACGCCCTCATTCCACAGGAGCCCCTGCTTTTTGCAAGTCTCTGAGCCCCCATGAAGGGAGCATGGGGGCTCAGAACACTTCTTTCTGGTACAAGCTCAGGGGAGGCTCTAAAGTTATGGTGGTGGGGAGGGTTTCAAAACAGGACTGGCCAGGCACTGTGGCTCACATCTGTAATCCCAACACTTTGGGAGGCTGAGGCGGGCAGATCACGAAGTCAGGAGATCAAGACCGTTCTGGCCAACTTGGTGAAACCCCATCTCTGCTAAAAATACAAAAATTGGCCAGGCGCGGTGGCTCACGCCTATAATCCAAGCACTTTGGAGGCCAACGTGGGTGGATCACCTGAGGTCGGGAGTTCAAGACCAGCCTGACCAACATGGTGAAACTCTGTCTTTAAAATTAAAAAAATAAATTAATTAAAAAATTATAAAGAACAGGGATCTGGGAGAAAAAAAATACAAAAATTAGCTGGGCATAATGGCATGTGCCTGTAATCCCAGCTACTCAGGAGGCTGAGGAAGAAGACTAGCTTGAACCAAGGAGTTGGAGGTTGCAGTGAGCCAAAATCGTGCCACTGCACTCCAGCCTGGTGAAAGAGGGAGACTCCGTCTCAAAACAAAAAAACAGAGAACCAGGGAATACCGAGACTTAAATGTATGGGGAAGAGCCACCTCCTGTGCCCAGAAGGACTGTGCCCAGTGCAGAAGAAAAGATGAAGCTGCAGAGTTGGGCAAGGGTGGGATTCTGCAGGGCCTGGTATCACTGACATGTTTGGCATGTATTTGTCTTACAGGGTCCCACAGCATCTTCTCGGCAGGTTTGCCCCTCCACTCTGCCCTCCAGGATAGAAGTGTGGTGTCCTAATCTGGGCCTCATGCATTCATTTCTTCCTCTGGACTGTATCTGCAGGGCAGAGACACCTCTGCTTCTCTTGGGTCTCCAGCATCCTGTGCAGGGTAGGGTACCATATCCATTAAAATGATGTTAATGATATGACATAGCCGTGAGGAATCCAGGCTTACTATGAACCAGGCACTATGCAGATTTCCCTTTATTGTCCCATTTCTTAATATTTGCAGCAGCCTAATGAGATTGGTTCTGTTATCACCCCTGTTTTACAGATGGGGCCACTGAGGTGCAAAGAGTTTAAGTAACTTATCCCAAGTCACACAGCTTGGAAGCGGCTGAGCTGGTATTTGAACCCAGCTCTTCAGAGGCTGTACTCATAACCACCA